TATTCTTGAAATTATAAATTAGGTGCTTACACGTGTCTCCGTACAAAACAGTAGGGCTTAGAACACATATGGTAGCCAAAAAACCCTCAAGGATCCTATGGTGTCCCCGGATGAAGAGACAACTTTGCTTTTAGTAACTTTGGTTTTGTAACAAGTCTAATGTAAAGTTTACCCTTTGGATTAATTACATTCATATGTTGCAATTTTGTGACAGGTAACACGTTAAAGGAAGCATACAAAAACCTGGCCTGAAAATATTCATGTGTGTTTTAATGGAACTAGTCTCACATACTGTTATACAATTTACTTTATAGTTAGCATCATGTCATGAAAATTTTCTATGTTAGATAGATGATAGACAGAGGTAACTTTATCATTCCAATGACTTACTAGTTTTGTAGTATATGAGTCTGCCACAATTTTTCCTAAAAGCACCCATTTTCCAATACTGCCAGTGTTGCTACAATGATTCTATGTAATTCTTCTTTTTTTGTTGCAGTTATTAATTATCAAAATTATTATTCTGTTCTCCAATACTCCACACTTTCTTTTTTTTTCTTATTGATCATTAATGTTGGCATGTCCATCTTATTCCTGATTTTAGTAGGCAGGATTTTAGCATATTACTTTTAAAAAGAAGTTTTGCATTTAATTTCCTTTTTTTCATTTTGGAAATACTTTATTTTTTAAATTTTTATTGTTATGTTAATCACCATACATTACATCATTAGTTTTTGATGTAGTGTTCCATGATTCATTGTTTGTGCATAACACCCAGTGCTCCATGCAGTACGTGCCCTCTCTAATACCCATCACCAGGCTAACCCATCCTCCCACCCCTCTCCCCTCTAGAACCCTCAGTTTGTTTTTCAGAGTCCATCGTTTCTCATGGTTCGTCTCCCCCTCCAATTTCCCCCCCTTCATTCTTCCCCTCCTGCTATCTTCTTTTTTTTTTCTTAACATATATTGCATTATTTGTTTCAGAGGTACAGATCTGTGATTCAACAGTCTTGCACAATTCACAGCACTCATCATAGCACATACCCTCCCCAATGTCTACCACCCAGCCACCCCATCCCTCCCACCCCCACCCCCACTCCAGCAACCCTCAGTTTGTTTCCTGAGATTAAGAATTCCTCATATCAGTGAGGTCATATGATACATGTCTCAGCATAATACCCTCCAGTTCCATCCATGTCGTTGCAAATGGCAAGATCTCATTCCTTTTGATGGCTGCATAATATTCCATTGTATATATATACCACAGCTTCTTTATCCATTCATCTGTCGATGGACATCTTGGCTCATATCTTCTCCATGCTTAAGAAGTTGTTTTTGGTTCCTTTTTTATTCATTTTTTTTTAAATCCAAGAGCTTTTCTATATCTACAGATATGATCATGTTTTTTTTTCTTTTCCCTTCTATTATGTAAATAGCCTCCTTTATCTTCTTAATTAGGAATGTATTTAACTTCACTTGACAGAAACCTGACCACTATGGCATAAGCATAAGGTGCTCATTTTTCTCATATCTATCATCTTTTTGTGATGAAAGGGTGTACACACATATACACACACACCCTATATCTGTACTTTACCTGCCAATCTGTTCCAGTTTGCTAAATAGAAATGAGGATCTTTCTAGACTTTTCTTCTTCAACCTTCACATCTGATTGATCACTCAGCTCTGATATCTCTTCATTCTGTCCCCTTTTTTTTAAATTTTATTATGTTAATCACCATACATTACATCATTAGTTTTTGATGTAGTGTTCCAGGATTCATTGTTTGTGCATAACACCCAGTGTTCCACGCAGAATGTGCCCTCTTTAATACCCATCACCAGGCTAACCCACCCCTCCACCCCCCTCCCCTCTAGAACCCTCAGTTTGTTTCTCAGAGTCCATCGTCTCTCATGGTTTGTCTCCCCCTCCGATTTCCCTTTTCCATATCCATAGAACCACTGTATCAGTCGAAGCTGAAATAATTTCTTACAAAAACCATTTGACCTAATTCACTGCTTCATGTTTCTCTTCTAGCTCATCTTTCACAGACCTGCCAACACAGTCTTTTCCACATGTTATTAAAAATGTTGCTTCTTTATTTAAAATCCTTCAGGAGCTCTCTTTCTTTTTTTTTTTTAAGATTTTTTTTTTTTTTTATTTGACAGAGAGAGAGAGTACAAGCAGGAAGGGCGGCAGGCAGAGGCAGAGGGAGAGGGAGAAACAGGCTCCCCGCTCAGCAGGGAGCCTGATGTGGGGCTCGATCCCAGGACCCCGAGATCATGACCCGAGCCAAAGGCAGACGCTTGACCGTCTGAGCTACCCAGGCGCCCTGGAGCTCTCTTTCACTCTCAGGACAGAACTCATATTCCTAGACATGGCCTGTAAGGCCCTTCATGGTCTTGCCATTCCCTATCTGACTAGCTTCATATCCTACCACTTTTCTGATAAAACCAAGCTGCTGGCTATTCGCCAGCTACCAAGCTCAAAGCCTGACTTAGGAAAAGCTGTGTTAACGTGTGTGAAATGAATAAGCGATAGAGGGAATGACTTCTCTCTATACACTAGGTTGTAGCACAACACATCCATTAAAATCCAAGTGGGCAGGAAGAGTCTACTGACAGATGATTTCTCAATCTCAAGCCATATTAACAGTAGCTTAGCTCTCTTTTAACTTTGGGTTATTGCAGCTTTTAGATGAATTGGATGAATGTCCCCAAGTGATTGGAAAGAAAAAGTTAATCCTGCTTTCTGTACTAATGATTCATTTGTGCTATTAGCATTCCAAGCACTCATACAGAGATACTGTACTGATCCTGTTACCTATTTGCTGCCAGAAACAATGGCTCAATATCAACCAGCCAGTGCTAAAATAGTTGTTTGGAGCACATAGTGTCCTGAGTTCAAAAGGATAATACTAAATAGGGGCGCCTGCATGGCTCAGTCGGCTGAGGAGCCAACTCTTGATTTTGTCTCAGGTCATGATCTCGGGGTTGTGGGATGGAGCCCCAGGTCAGTCTCCATGCTCAGTGTGGAGTCTGCTTGTCCCTCTCCCTCTGCTCCTCCCTCACTCGTGCTCTCCTCTCTCTCTCCCTCTCAAATAAAAAATTAAATCTTTAAAAAACGAAGGATAGGGCGCCTGGGTGGCTCAGATGGTTAAGCGTCTGCCTTCGGCTCAGGTCATGATCCCAGGGTCCTGGGATTGAGTCCCGTGTCGGGCTCCCTGCTCCTTGGGAGCCTGCTTCTCCCTCTGCCTCTCTCTCTCTCTCTGTCTTTCATGAATAAATAAATAAAATCTTTAAAAAAAAAAAAGAAGGATAATACTAAATCATTCCATCCAACATGCAGATTTGTTCTGCCGTCTTTGGGGGAGGGGGCACTTAGCTGCTAATTGATTCGGACTACCTAAAATCTTTAGGAGCAGCCTTTTTTTTTTTTTCCCCTTCCAAGTTTTTATGGATTATTTCTAAATTTGCGTTAAAAAAGCTCTCCATGAAAAGTTCTATTTGCCTGTTTTACAGCTTTGGATTTTGAGGTCTCAGAGTGCAGATACGTAAGCATATGCAGGTTGCTATTTTAGAGAAAACTTTGATCCGTACTGTCAGCTTCACTGTGGAGAGATGGAGTTGTCTTCCTTCTGAATGCCAATGATTGTTGACTTTACTGCAATACAAAATGTCTCTTGCAACTTAAACATTTATTTTATAAATGTAGATCTCTATTTAGACGATAAAATTATATACTTCCATCCTATACTCTTAATATATGCTATTTGAAGTAATTTATTTAAAGGTTTCTAGTTAAATATGTTTCAGTTTTGTGCCACTTGTTTGACATTTTTGAATTGGATTTGAAACTAAAGTCTTAAGTGACTAAATATGGCCATATGGCCGGATAAATTGTGTCAATTCCCAATGGATTTCATCTTTCTTTTCCTTGACTTCTCTTTCTACTTCAGTAAGTAGCACTATTGGACTGCCTATGATTTGAAGACATGTGCTAATAAAAACTTAAATGATAATGTTTCCATTATTAAAGGAAGAAACTAGACAAGAAGTTAAAGTGCTTAGAGATTTGTAAGACAACTGTTTGTTTTATATTTCTCTGAGATGGTAAGATTTTTATGGACAGGGATTGTTTCCTAGCGTTATGTAGAGGGGTGCTGAAGTGCAGAGTAAGGAAGATACGTGCAAAGTAACAACGACAAAAATAAAGGGTGGGAAAATGAAAACAGAATACTAGAGAAATAAACATAAAATTTAGGTAAAAAAAATTCTGGAACACTAAGAAGTGGCCCTAGAAAATTATATATGACACTAAATAGTTTACAATAATTAAAAATAACAGTGTTTTTTACTTAAGAAAGAAAACCAGATTGACAGCTTTTTTTATTTAAGAAAAAATAAATCAGAGAGGGAGCTGTCCATACATGAAGTGAAAACATTCATGGAAGTATTGGGTCCTTGTGAAATGATAGCCTATGTGGGAAAATTTAGGTAACACTGATATGTGAGAGCACAACTTTTTTGTTTCTCTCGCATTATTTTTTTCTTTTTTTTAGTTTTTATTTTAACTTCAGTTAACGCTAACATTCTTTATGGAGAATTAGAATTAGTTTCCTTTTAGGTATTTTCCATCGGTCTCAACTTCTAATTCTCCCGCTCAGCCATTGTGATAAATTAAAGTAATCATTTTTACCTCTTTGCTTCTTTCTGTGGAATTCAGTGTTCAGATTTTTTATGACAGGATTTACATGATTTAGCTCAGGAATTCATTGAAAAATCAATTTAGCATTTTCCAAAAGATTGTATAGTGTTATATACAAACCATAGCTACTTCTGTGTTCCAAAATATTTTATTTTATTCAATTACACTGGATTCATAAGGTCTTATCAAGACATAGTTGAGATACGGACATATTTTTTTCTATAACATACTTAAAACATGCACAACATTCATTTCATTTTACCGTTGTTGCTTTTTTTTTTTTCTTCCTAAGAACGACCCACATTTCTCAGGAGGCCAATTAACCAGGTGGTGCTGGAGGAAGAAGCTGTAGAATTTCGTTGTCAGGTCCAGGGAGATCCTCAACCAAATGTGCGGTGGAAAAAGGATGATGCAGACTTGCCAAGAGGAAGGTAAGAACATCATATGGGTGGAAAATTGTTGGATAACCATTGAATAATTAGAAAAAAAAAGACATCCCGATTGTACCATCAAACACTCTTATATCTCAGTGTATTATTTCCAAACACACGATTTTTACATATGCAAGCCACGTAGCTGCTGTTTAATATACTGAAGTCCTCCAGGCTTTTAAGGTCACTCTTTCATGGACTTTTCACATAAATGCCGATCCTCCACTCCATCTTCTATCCCCAACTATCAAAGATGCCTGAGGTAGCCCCTTCCAGATCTGCCATTCTGCTCGTGGTGAACTCTTGACTACCTAGCCTAATTGCCTCCAACTACTGCTCTGTTGTGTGATACTTCCCTGCACACTAGATACTGTCTGCCTTGCTTGGTTGTCCAAAGCATCACTAAGCAAAGGCTGCTGCATGTAGCTGACTCTAAGGTCTGGAGTAAAGCAGAAGTTTTGTGCAACACAAGGCTGAAAAAGCAGCAAATACTTGACATCACTATCCACACGGGGAATTTGTCACTTAGGGACCGTCTGTCACTTTCTCAATCTCGATGTCTTCATGGAGATCTTTTCCTCCATCTCTTTTCTAGTCTTCCTATCACCAACCCCCAAACCCAGTCAGTCAACTCTTCAGGGGGAATACAAAAATGCTTTTCATCGTTTTATAAGAATATTTAACTTTTTTGTTGTCTAAATCTTTCCAAGACCTTGCCCTTTGTGACCAAATGAATCATTCAAGTGTTTTTTTTTCTATATAATGAGCAAGTCTAGCTTTTTTTAAAGATTTTATTTATTTAAGACATACACAGAGAGAGAGAGAGAGAACATGAGCAGGGGGGAGGGACAGAAGCAGGCTCCCCACTGAGTAGGGAGCCCAACACGGGGCTCTCAATCCCAGGACCCTGGAATCTAAGATTTGTTTTGTCTTCCTCCTAGTCTCACCTTCTGAGACTATACCATCACACCTACTACAGTCATCATCTGCCTAAGATTTCACATCTTTCCTTTTTTGTAATTTTTCTTGAAAAAAAGAAAGAAAGAAATTAGGTGTCATTCAACTGAAATTATACATGCTTTCACAGATATCAGTTGCCTTTTATCTGCTCTCACTAGCAACCACTATGGATACTTTTCTGAATGTATGCATTCATTTCAAAATCTTGATTTATTTATCCCTAAGCCTCTGATACTATATTTTCTAAAGTTGTATCATCAACAGCACTGGCCAGAAATGGACCAAACATTTTAAATAGTCAGTGAGAGGTTCTTTGCAATCTATAGGAATAAAACAAGTGAAACTTTTAATTTGGTTAGTTTTTCATCATAATAATAGGCTGTTTCCTTTGTCACTTTGCTGTTAGACATCTAGTTTTAAAGGAGTGTTGTTACAGGAGTTTGTGAATGTTAGGTTCCTCAAGCCTTCTCAGTGGAGAAGCAGGTTAAAAAGCAAGAAGAGTTTATGGAGCTGAGTTATTAGTGTCTATCCTCTGTGTATAGTCAATAATTTTCCTCAGGTTTGAGAGCACTTAATGTGTAATTTTAAAATGTTGATGTAAGATTGAGAGATGAATTATATAGTAAAATTTGGCCTAGTACAGATGAAGGTTAATTTTCAGTTACTGGGAGTAAATAGCCTTGTCTATTTTTTTAAAGATTCAATTATTTGAGAGACACAGAGAGAGAGAGAGCAGGAGCAGGGGGAGTGGCAGAGAGAGAAGGAGAAGCAGACTCCCTGCTGAGCAGGGAGCCAGACGCTGGCTCCATCCCAAGATCCCAGGATCATAACCTGACCCGAAGGCAGATGCTTAGCTGACTGAACCACCCAGGTGCCCCAGCCTTGTCCATTTTTTAAAAACAAACAATCAAACTTTTATTTTGGAATATTTTTGGCTTTATAGAAAAGTTACAAAGATAGTACAGAGAATTCCCATATACCTGATACTAAGTTTCCCCTGTTGTTAGCATCTTACATTATGATGAAACATTTGTCATTCCTAATGAACAAATGCTAATACATAATGATTAAAGTTTATACATTCTTTTGATTTCACCAGGTTTTCCATTAATGTCTTCCTTCTGCTCCAGGATCCAATCTAGGGTATTTAATTGGGATATTATAGACTATTGCATTTATTTTTCATGTTTCCCCAGTTTTCTGTATCTTTCCTCAATCTTTCATTGTTTTTCCTCAAAATTTCATTGTTTTTATGATCTTCACAGTCTTAAGAGATACTGGCCAGGTGGCCTATAGAATGTTCCCCAAACTTGAATTTGTTTCATGTTTTCTCATGATTAGACTGGATTTTGTGGGGTGTTAGGGAAGAAAGCCACAAAGAATGCCCTTTTGTCACATGATATCAGAGGTTACATGATATCCATAGAACATCCCTTATGATCTTGATATTTTTAATCATTAAAAAAGATCCAGTTCACAAACATTTCAAAAATGGAACGTTGTACGAGTGTGTTGCATTTTAATGGGTCTATGTCTTTGAATTAAGGTAAAATAAAACTTAATCCACCCCAGTTTGATTTCCCAGATTTCTTTAGGTGTTAGATCATAAGCCTGGGGGGAGGGGGAAACCTTTAGTTGCCACAATATTCTCCAATCTTACCAAATTCATTTGCTTCAGAGTTCAAATAATAAAAATCAAAGAACAGTATGAATATTACATGTTTAGAATGGATAATAGAAAGGCCTCTAAAGACAAGGTTGAAATTTTGAGAAATCTTACTTCCACTAACTTTCCCTAAAACATTGTCATAGGTTTCTGGCCTCTTTATTTTTCTGTTACTGGCATGATACTACTACAGTGCTTTGTGTGACCAGCTAAATATTTTTGAAGTATTAAGCAAATGGAAATGCTGTGTAAGCTTTAAATTGTATGTTAGAAAGGCTTAAAGTAAGGATCAGTGCGGTATAGAAATTGAGGTCAATATTTTTATCATGATAGAAGCCATGTACTTTTTCTTGAATTCTCAATCTTTAAATGGTATTTCAAAGAAGCTTATTCATTCTTAGATTTGTATGCATTAACATAAGCTTCACTTATGCATAATGAGGGAGAAATAGACCTCTTTCCTTGGTAAGGAATAACAGTAATGACTTTTAACAAAATATAGCCTAAAACAACATTGATTCTATTACGTTATTTAAGTCTCAGACTAGGGAGATGGCCATTGTTCTTGTGAAGCAATTGTGTGAAGTGGTGTGGAGGATGACATTTCTTTGGCTTAACGTTTAATGCAATTTGAATAAGGTTTGTGTGGTAGTTCATGCTTAACACATTTATAGTAAAGCTTTGTAGGGCAGCTGCATAGCCTGTAATTACTATGTAAGTAATATGTGACTATTTTTCTTTTGGAGACAAGAAAAGCTTTTCAATTCAAGTTTAAATTTATGAAATGCTGTGATAGCTATTTAAACCTTCGACACAGAAGAAGATATCTGTGCCAAACTTTCAGAAACCAGAGATGAATTAAGGGCATATTTTTTTTATCTTTACTGTGAAAATATTTTTTTTTAGTAGTACTCATATACCTCTTTCTTTGATTTAGCCTTTAAACTCCTGACCTTTCCCAGTAACTATCTTTAATAAAATTAAAATGTACCCTTGGTGAGTTGTATTAAAGACATTTTTTGATTAGATGAGTGTTTTGGTGAGGTGGGAAAAGTAGCAATTCCTAAGGCTAGCAATGACCCTAATGCCCAACCAGGGAGAAGATGGCTATTTTCCATATAACAAAGGGACAAAATAAGAAGGAGCCTTTACCTTATTACATGCTCCTGTCAAAATGTTAATTGTTTGCTGAAACTTCTGAAGATGGTACTCTTTCAGAATTGAACGTTTTAGGAAGAAAAAAATAAGTCACTCCTTTTATTTGTGACTGTGTCAAGTATCAATATCTTTTTTCCAGAGGGTCTCAATATATGTATGCTCAAATAAATGAACATTGACTTATCTATTAGGGGCAAGAATTTTACATACCAATATGAAAATAAAGTGGGTAGAGGGAATAAAAAGAGATAAGGGGAAAGAGGGGAAAGATTTTATTGTTTGTAATGATTATTTTTTTTAAAACACAGGTTTTATTTTTTTTTTAAGCATAATTTAAATTGTAGAAGATACCTTTTCGGAATCATCTACATTTATTAAGTGCCTACTATATTTATAATGCTCACTGATAGTCTGTTAAAAAAAGTCATTTAAAGCAAGATAATTATACTGTTATTGGTTGTTTATTTTTTATGTTAACCAGATTGGGTGATGTGGAAAAGTATTTTCATACAAAATACATTAAAGAAAGTAAGGACTAAAGTAATCTTTGTTTCTTCCTTGGGTACCACATCTTTTTTCTCAGGCAAACCTAGAGCTTTTTGCTAATTAATACTCTTTTTGATGACTAGTGCCTTCAGCACATCTTTCCACAAAGTGTTTCATATGATAAAATTGCCAGTATTTATAATACTAAGACGGTGTTTCATCTTATGCTATGTTCCATCTTACCATATGGATAGTGCATATTTTTTATATCAAAATAAAAATACATATATATATGTAATATATATATGTGTCCTGAAGCTCTATGGAAAATACCATGTATTAATGTGAAAGAAACAAAATATAATAAATTTATAATGAAACAAAAATTAAATTAAAATACACCAACACTACAATATTCTGTTCAATTGAATAAGAGTGAGGAGAATAAAAATATCCCTTCTCAGAAATTAGTTAAGGAGTAGTGTGATTAATCTAATTGTAATTTCTTATCTGGGACTGTCAGTACAGATTGTGTTTCAGTTAATTATTGGAAGTCTTTTAAAGAACTGCAAACAGGAGATTTAACATCCTTCATCATTCATATAATTTTGTTATATCACCATATAGTTAGCTCCGTGATTTTTTTATTTCATTTTTATTTATTTTCTAAACCAACTCTAAAGTGACACTAACTTTCTTAATAAAGATCTAGAGTACAGAAAGGAATGTT